TATATATATATATATATATATGTATATATATGTAAGACGTAGAAGGAAGAAATAATGGAATCAAAACAAGTAACAGATAACTCAATCGAAGATCTCTTTTTTTTTTCAGTTCTGTGTAATTTCATTGAATTTGCTGGTGAATGAAGCAGTAAACAAAGGTTTGTATTGACATACACACACACACACATACATATGCGTGGACGTTTCAATCAGCTGTCGCATCTAAAAATAAACATTCAGCGGAAATTAAAGGAGGCGATAGAGCTGCGTCACGATGTGTCGATGTATTTTCTTTATAAAGAAGTCTAAACTAAAAACTAAGCCACAAAAAGGGAGGAAAGGGGGGGGGGTGGTGGGGGGGGTAAGACCTTTGTTAGACGATGTCGAATTGGGGTAGTTGCAGAGGCGTAGCGTGGTGAGGGCAGGGGGGGACAGATGTCCCCCGGGCGCCAGCTAGTTCGGGGCGCAAAAATGTGCTTTAATATTATTTTATTGATGAAAATAATCGGTTTGAGAGTTGAAAAAAAGAAAAAGGGGCGCTTTAAAATGGATCTTGTCCCCGGGCGCGAATCTTGTCCCCGGGCGCCAAACACCCTCGCTACGCCACTGGGTAGTTGCGCTTTTCCAAAATATGTGACTTGCGAATTTTCCTAACACACCCCTCCCCACACACACACACACACGCTCAAGCTCTTGGAAAAGACATTTTGGTTCTTCCATGTCTCATGATCGTTGATTGTATTAGCTGCGCTGAAGCCTAAAGTATCGATAAGAGACAACGGCTGGAGAAACAAACGGCTGCTGAACGAGAGTTTGATGTGACTGAAATCGTTCAGGATTTTACTTCTGCAAAAGTGAGATAAGGTGCTGTTGTTTGTTTAAAAAATACAAATAAGCTGTTACGGTGTGGGCACTTCAGAGCTTTTTATAAATGTGTCATCACAGGATTTCTTTCGTTGCTTTCGGACTCTCCTAATTTACAAACAACACTATGAGCCGTTCTAGAAGATCTGGTTAAGAATTACAGTGTGATGGTAGTGTGTGTGTGTGTGTGTTTGTTTGTTTGTTGTTGTTGTTGTTTTTGTTTTTTAAGGGGGGGGTGGGGGGAACCCATGAGTTAACTGCACCGGATGACGCCTCTGGCCGGCACTGCTTGTGTCTAGTTATCGTTAACAACGCCTGGAAGTTTTCCATATTCCCCACACCTTGCAAATGAGGTATAATCAGGGGAAATAATGAAATTAACATTTAGAGACTCAATTTTAACGGGTTGCTTCCCTTAAAATAATTGGAATTTTTTTTTTACAAACACCAATTCTCTTAGTAGTGAGAGAGAGAGAGAGAGAGAGGGAGAGAGAGGTGGAGGGAGAGACAGGGAGAATGAGAGAGAGGGGAGGGGAGAGAGGGAGAGATAGGGAGATAGTTTCTCACTTCATTGTAGAGACCGATCGAATTTTGGCTTCGGCTTCGGTTTCGGCACCGACAGTGGCCCTTTTATCCTTTTGACTTAATTTCGGTTTCAACCGAAAGAGAAAAGTTAACTTTCGGGTTTTTTTCGGTTTCGGCCGAAATTGACTTTGACTTTCGGCCTTCCGGCCGAAAGTGACTGAGGTTTTCGGTCATCTAATACTTAGCTAAAGCGATATTTAACAACAAACTAAGCGACATTAAAGAACAAACTAAACGATCTTTAAGAACAA